GCACAGTTGACGTGCTTGCGTGTAACCTCACCAACGGTTCCTTCGCATTACATCCGTGCCTAGGCACGTGAGCCTTTTGTGTGACAAAAGAGGCATCAGTTGAGTCCTTCGTCCCTCCCGGCAGTGGCTTCTCTGTTGCCTCGTGAGACCTTGATTTGTGATTGGTGGATTACTGTGACATGACAGCTCTGTCACTTAGATGGCTGCGTCATGACCCAGACCTTTGGACTGTGGCAAGGGATGATACTAGGCACAGCTCAACTGAAGTCCACTTTTCAACTGACTTCGAATGCCTGGATACGATGGATTTTAGGTTCCGTCTGCGACGAAAGAAGCCGAAGCAGTCTCCTCAGCTTTGTGAGCATTTCTTCTTCCATTTAAAAAAACCAATGAAATGTCTGCCATCTTTTTGTGCTTAAGGCTCGTCCCACATAATTTGTGGGATGTAGTATTCACCCTAGAATGCCATTCATAATTAGGGGGCCTTAGAAAACCGCACTTCATGGTTGTGGGCTGCAACACACAGCTTCTCTTCCCCCTTTTTTTCGGGTAACACTGCTTCCCGGTTAGGTACATCCAGAATGGGAGAAGAGTGTTTGGGCTGTTGCCCATTTGAGGGGTCTAAAGGGGGCTAGATGTGGCCCTCCCGCTTCAGCAGTACTGACTTTGCGTCACTCGCTTCATTATCGTCCTCCATGTCCTGTGATGAATGGCTCTCGGGCCTGGGATGAGACCTCATTCCTCCTCAAGGGCATAATTGTTTGCTAGAATGGAAGGGAAATGGAATTGCGCCCTGCGAACCATCGACCGCTATCTAGGCTGCGCCCTCATTGGCTATCCGCATCTTCACTTTGCCCTACACACTGTCTGTTTGTTTGTTTGAGGATGTTCTAAGCTTCTTTCCCTTCCCTCTCCACGCCTCTTCACTTCATTGGCTTGTGGTGCATTGGACTGCCTACATTCATGTCTGTTCATTTTACCTCCGATTGAGACTATCCTCTTGGGAAGATTTCGACGCTGGGGCGGGTGAAGCTACTTTCAAAATCTGCCTTTTTTAGGCACTTGCGCTTGAAGCTCTCCCTCAACCACCTCCTCGCTTTCAACGGTGCTTCAGTTTTAATAGTCACTTGGGTACTTTTGGTTCTAAAATTATCACTTTTTGGTGCGAATTCGCCTGCTGTTTTGATGACACTTTTGGTGCTGAAATAAAGCAGTGTGATATTTCTGCCCCAGAAGAAGGAGGAGGAGGAGGAGGTGGAACCATTTACTCTCCTGTAGGCGTAAAAATAAGGCAGCAAGCCTCGTGACGAGGCTATGCACAGACATCATCAATAGGCGTTTGAAGTGCTCAAGGCCAAACTTGACTTTCTGAGCTCCGCACACCTCACTGAAGGAGTCGATAAATCACTTGGAGAATGGTAGAAGTGCCAAAGTAATCCTTAGACGTTAATGAGGGGGCTTTTGCTTAAAAATAGGCTGGAAGGCGATCCAGTGTCTTGGCGGGCATGCACGCTCAACTGACTGTTTTCACAATGTGGAATAAACTGATCGCCTCCCACATCTCCACATCGTCGTCTCCTTTCAGCCCCTTTCGCCTCGCTGAAATCTATTTCCAATGAGGACCTCTCCAACGGCTCCATCTATCAACGATTTTTTGGTCCCAGTACTGACCTCTCCAAGTCTTCGCCTGAAGCTCCATCAGAGCAGTTGCCACCTGCACCACCCATTTCTCCCATCACACCCTCCATCACCTCGAGAGCCAGTCGAATCTCAAACGCTCTGCGCGATGCGGTAAGGATGCTGAGGTTGGGAGGAGATGGCCATCATCAGCAGCAGGAGGAGGATACAGTGACCCTGGAGGATGCCAACTCCTCGCTACCACCATCATCAGGTGTTGCCTCAACGGCGCAACCGAACCTGTCGGCAAGTCAGACGCGGCTCTTCAGACAGCAGAAGAGGCCGATGCGAGGATCTGGCACAATGAGTGCGGCGTTGGGTGGAGTTGTTAAGATTGGAAGAAGGAGTAAAGCCTCCACGGTGTCTCAAGACTCGGGACATTGTAACACCTTCGAGGTGACGGTAAGT